GTTGCAGTTCGGCCTGAGCTGTATATGACACCAAGCGGGGGAGCAACGTGGATGCTTCTCGGTCCTACGTAAGTGGTTGGTCTTTGCTGTTCCCGGCAGGGCATTTAGGTGAAGTCAGTTCATCACCGCACACGTGTGATATTCTTAGATCAGAATTCTTAGATCCAAAGAATAAAGTGTAACTGTAATTAACATTATTTAGCACACCCCTGAAGTCATCCAAGCATATAGAAGTTATTAGTCTGGACTCGCCAAATGGTAAGGGTCTGAGTTGTTCTGAAATGTTTGAATATACTGCAAGCACCACGTAGCCAGAGAGCCTTTGTATGTTGTAAATTGGAGTGGACATATGTGCTACGGCATTTATGCTCTGGCTTTCTTCTCGAATATTGGATGAAATATGTAAAAGGGCACTGTGTATGTACTTAGGCATATACCTCCTTGTGAATTATTTGTATATTATTTTGACAACAGTCCAGGTGTAATGACAGCATACTGGAGGTAAGTGATGCTGTTGTCCAGTTTAAGGATGGCTTGCCTGTAAGAACTCTGGGGTTTATTTTCCTTGGGTGGGCCTTTCTGATAGGAGAAGAACAAATGAAAATATTTTAAATAAAGGAGAAATCCTGGAAAATTCTGCTCTTAAATGCTTTTAAAATGGTCAAAGTATTGCCTAGGCATGTTGTCTTTGGACTTCTGAGACTCATTTCCGTCTCAGCTAAAATGGGACTGAGGCTAACTTGCAAGAGGGCTGTCAGGATCAGCCAGTGAATATTTATGAAGAAATATTACGGTGAAAAAAAAATAATATATGCTACACATATTATTAATAATTATGTGAGTCCTGAAAAATACCATACTGTATCACAAAGCTGGCATTGTCCGGTAACTACACTCTCGGCACTGCGTGCTACAGTAAACTGTATACTGAAAACTCATACTAATGGAAAGGTATACAGGATTCCATTGGTAAGTGATTTATAGTGACTTCCTACTATAAACAAGAGGGAACAAATATCCTGCCTTGCTGGTTTCTTTGGGCGGATGGTGAGAGCAGAATGAGACAGTCCTGGCCAGGCAAAAGCTGATTCTCTGGATGCTTGCAACTGGGAGCAGAATGAAGCACCAGAAAGAGAGGTATAAATTACAATTTCTAATTATAAATTATTGAGCTTCCATTTTCATAGTGCTTAAAACTTTCCACTTGTAGACTGCAAACGACCACTGTTTTAAGTGATTTCCAAACTTGTAACAAAAAGATGTTTCTGATGTTTAATATTAAATAGGCTTACTGTAGGATCTGAATATATGCTGAAAGCCTACCAACATCATTTCACAAGAAGCACGTTCCTTTCTGAGACAGAATAAATCACTGCAGCAGCTTCTTTTTGAGTTTCAATTAATAAATATGCTATTGAGCACAAGTGTAGTTTGTTTAGAAAAATGGTTTGTCCTGGCCAGTGGTATGCTGTTGATAAACTTCAGTGTTGAAGTAAGTCTTAGGAACAATGTGGAATATAATAATGCATCAGCATTGGCTTTCTCTGGAATCACTTGTGACATTGATCTAAACTTGACAAGTCGGTAGGGGTTGAAATTTAAGTGACAGCTTGCCTTGATCCAACTAATGAGAGGACCACACTCCTCAGGAGAAACTGGAGGTGGCTGGCTGCCACCTAAGGTGTGTTAGACTAAAGTTAATCACAGCACTTGGAGAGGGCAGCTATGGTGCATCCTTTGTACCTTGCATAAAGTGCTACCTCTCATGTAGTCAGAGGGGGCTTACAAGTGAAGTCCAAGGTCTGCCCATCAGCGCTTGCTCTGGGGTGAGTCCTCAGCTGAGGCTATTCAGTGCGATTCAGTATCATTTCTCCATTCCTTCTGTCACTATTTCCAGAGATGTTACCCAGTCCCAGTGCCATTTCTTCATTGCTTCAGAGAAGAAATCCAGGAACATGCACAATGGTCAAGAAACCAAACACTTCCCATATTGAGAATGCTGTTCTTATTATATTCATGATTATAGTCATGAAAAAGTCATGAAAATTGTTGTGCAGATATGTCAAATATCAAAAGCTTTAATTATCAAAAGCTTTAATTAGTAGTCAGAGGTAGAGCAAGTAGATTGCTAAAGATGAAGAAAAAGCAAAATGTCAGGCAAGATTCACCTTTTTTTTTTTAATTTGAAAAAAATTTGTCATCTATGTTCCCTCTCTTGTCAGTGAAGAGCCAGACATGGCCAGACTATGTTTCTTCCAGGCTGAGCTAAGCATTTAAGGCTGTGGTTACACCACCAGTTTAATCTCCAAAGGAGAGATATGATCGTCTCCTCATCCAGTTTACAGCACATCCAGATGGATGATAATGCTGTCCAATGAGAAACAGTGGTAGGAGGTGGTCCTAGAAGAGGGCTTTGTGGTCTGGTTTTGTGGCAGCACTCAGGGATGTTAAACTCCGTGTTAAGTGGGTGGGCTGACTTGGAAGACATCTGTGTTAGTGAATGGAGTCTGGACAGCTAGCCCGAGTAAAGATACATAACTTAGATGGCAGGTCCATGGCAAGTGAGGTGAACTCTACTCTTCATTTTGAGTTGGATAAAGTTGGTTTCACCAGCAAGATGTCAGGGAGAGCATGGGGAACGGTCTTTGTCTCTCTCAATGTGGTTATCCCCATCCAAAAAATGATGGTAATACTTATTTCCTTCACTGAGCGCTGTTCAGACAGATGTGAGCTGCTTGGATGCTATGGTATTGCAAACTAGGATATGCTGTCAGAGGTTTAGTATAGCAGAAAAGGATTTTTGGCAAGAAAAAGGGGGCCTGTGCTTTGAAATGATGGATTTTCAGACTTCATTGTGCTAACATGCTTTTACAGCAGTTATTAGCAAGAGCTTTGCAAATTATCAATGATGGTTTTATTGTAACACAGTTTCAAGTTTCTTTGACATAAATTGTTTGAAAAAACATCAAAATCTGAATGGAATAAAAAAAGACATGTAATTCAGGAAAAATCTTCAGCAAAGTTAAAGAATGGGTAGCTCTTTGCTCCTGGATTTTATTTTTTAGCTTTCCTACTGCTTTTATATAGCATAGGCAGGCCTCTTTCTTTTAGAGCTGGCTAAAAACCAGTAAAAAATATTTGCAAATACTCTTTCAAATAAACACTGGAATTGGAATGTGTGTCACCATTCACACCTACTTTCCTCAGAAGTTTGTACAAGCCATTTTTTTGTTCATAGGCAATATTTTCCAACAGCAGAAGAAACTGACAGATGCTTGAGAGAGGTATATTTATATCCAGGTTTGGTCTGGCAACAACATTCGCTATTACTTGCCATTTCCATTTCTATACCTACTGACCTATTCAGTCCTAAATCTCCTCTTTAAAATTGTCTCAATAAAAAAAAAAAAAAAAGGAAACAAGGCTGAAAAATTATTTGTAGCCAAGTACAGCGTGAAGAAGGAGACTTGGTGTCATTCAGTACCTCCCTCCGGATCAAATGTTTCTTTTTTCCTTGGTTCCCTCTCTTCTGCATAAGTTGAACTTCCCCCTCTGGAATCACATTCAAGCACTGATCTAAGAGAGCTTAAGAGATACTGATTTAAGATGTGCTTTTTTGGAACAAAATGTAAACCTTGGTCACTTGTGGACATCTATTTATAAAGCTGTTTTGCAAAAGGATAGAGGCCTGCTAAATCAAACAGCTTGACAGACATCTGACCTCTGAAATTACAACTGGTCTCCCCACATTTCTTTGGTGAGACTGCGGTTATCAGTGGTCGCCTCCACGTGCTGGGGATTGCAGCTGGGCTGAGTTGTTTGACACAGGTTGGCTCTATGAGGAGACAGGCTGATGGTCAGTGGTGGGCAAGGTCACTCGTGAGCGGAGAGCTACCAAGGGTTGCAATGTAGTTTGAGACCTATTCCACTATAAACTCTGTTTAAAGAAGATATCAACTTTTAGTTAATAATCTGATGGAAATCTAGCAATAAGGTTGATTTTTAGTTGGGAATCTAGCCTCATAAAGAGGCACATGACTTTATGAGATTTATGCTGCGTTTAGGGGCTTTTTGGGTCTCCTAGCCATTAGTGCTCATGCCATTGCTGTTTCTTTGGTTTCACTCATTCTCCACGGGTACTGCAGTTAGGCATCGGCTTCTCACTCTTCCATAATGCGTTTCTGTGTCAGGATAGCAAACTCACTGAATAAAGCTTATATATTTCTGCCTGATAAATATTTCTTGCTTCTCTGCGACGTGAGGACTTAATGAATGAACAAATGTGACTCTTGATGGGAAAGTGTAGCTTATGCCTGTGATGCAATTTCATCTTTGAAGGCTTTTAACTAGGTGTACTTGTTGCTTGTGTCCTTCTCAGGCTGCCCCTGTGACTGAGTCGCAGCCTGGGCAAGGGGCGCATTAAAAACCACACACATCGTGCGTGCATGGGTCAAAGTCCTATTTTTAGTGCATACAAGAAGGCATTCACTGAAGGGCAATGGTTTTTATTTTTAGGTTTTGCAGTTCCTAATGTCCTTGGGATTTATGTTTTGAAAAACTAACTCTATCACCCTGTAAAATGTAGGCGAACCTCCAAGACCAGCTTTATTCTCACTATTGCCAGCATAACCTTTCCCCAGACATAGGCTAGTGTGGGATGCACTGGGCAGGGTTCAGCTCCAGTTCTCCCAGTGCTGTTCTGGTGAGCATCAGTGAGGTTCTGCCTCAGCACAGCCTCTTTCTGTAAGGTTGTGTCTCAGGAACCTCCCTACATCTTTTTTTTTGACCTATGCCTTGCTTCAAGCTCAGTGTACATTTCTCCAGGCAGACTCTTGAATGAAGCTGGCCCTTTATATGTGTTGAAACAAAGATTTTATTTTGAAATGTGGTATCAATTTTGGAATTAATCTTGGGATCTTTTTCCATATGCCTATTCCATAAACTTACTTGTTTTAAAAACTTTTAAAAGAAAATAGACTTTTTTTTTTTTATGTTTTCAGAAACTCTGGAGAGTGGACCAAATAAGTGTGAAAGGTGAGTAAGTGACTTCACAGTTTTCCAAAATTCTATTATTATTATTATTGTTGTTGTTTTTTTCCTGACATCACTTAGCTATGTAAGCTGTACCTGTAAATATTTGTTATTGCTTGAATCTAGTGCAGCTAACAGAAAAGGAACCAGCAAAGATGAAACATACTGGAAGGAGATCAACGCAGCTATGGCCCTAACGAACCTTGCCCAGGGGAAGGATAAACTGCAGGGAACTACCAGCTGCATCATCCAGAAATCATCGCATATATCAGAAGTAAAGACTGTTAAAGTGCCATTAGTTCAGCAGTTTTAAGAGATGGGTCCTTTTTCTTTTTCCTGTCAAACGGACATTTTCCTTGCAAGATTGGTTTTCAGCAAAATCAGATTCTCAGATACGAGGCAAATGTGGAAAACAGGCCTCCTTTTATGGTATGGTCAGTTTAAAAAAATAATGTTCCTTCTGACTCAGACGTTTTCATTGTATTAAATGAAATGTTCAGTTGCTTCTATAAAAGGCATGTAAATTATAAAAAACCTGTTTTTATCAAAACATTAACTTATTTTATGTTAATCAAAGTGCGCATAAAATGTTTGCATTGCTATTACAGTAAGTGCCTTGCTTTCAAAAAAATAAGCTATAACGTGGGCATAGTACAACAGTATTATGCCTCAAAATGACAATGCCATAGTGCTTAAACTTTGTATATTATTCCAAGTGGGCTTAAGCAGCCTAGGGCTAAACACAGTACTGCTGGAGGCCCTGGAGAGTTGTGCTTAATTGACTTGTACAAATCAACAAGTCTTAATGAAATTGTTACATCATTTTCTCTCTCTTTTTTTAATCAACAGTGTTATAAAAGTTGTACAGTATGTTTTGTCAAAGTGACAATAAGGTTGTTATGCATGTTTCTTACCTGTATATGCAGTATATTAAAATACCAAAATCATTCCTTTGAAAAGTGCAATACTCTAGAACACACAAATTTAGGAAATAAGTTAATTGTTCAGATTATTTTGAACTTATACATATGCTCCCAGCTGCGTTGCTCATTAAAGATTTCTAGTTGAGAAGGTTTTAGCCAGACTAACTGTAAATTCAAGTTGAATTTCTATAAATTTAAAGCTTTGCTAGTGACTTACTGAAGTTTTGATAGAAGTAAAATTGATTTCTTCTTGTACAAAACTAAATCTATAGTGCCGTTTATTATTTGCAGTGGAGCTCAAAAAAGTGTCCATGGTAGAACTTACTACTTTAATGTGGTTTAAACATTTTTATTTTGTAGGTACTACATACATTAATGAGGACAGTTGATTGACAGTTCACAGTTCAGTGAGAAAAAGCTATCATATAAACTATCAAAGCCCGAACTAGAAACACAAATGGGAAATTAAACATTGAAAAATCTCAGCATTTAAGGTGGGAGGGATTTAAGTAGATACTAAAACATGTATTAAATGTCACATCTCTCAATTTGACTGCTATTGAGTGTAATAACTAGCATAAAACCAGGTTTATTTTTAAGTTTTATTGGGAAATGTACAAGTTATTCTTAAGTCATATAACAATAGTCTAATGAGGTTTACAGTGCTTGAATAAACAGTGGCAAAGCCAAAACCAATTTATACTGAATCAGTTACAGAAGACTGGAAAAGAGCTGATTGTTGCTAGGATTTGGATTTTTTCCTGTGGGTATCCTGTCAGGTTTTTTCCTACGTATCCGTTTCCTTGTTTCTCTTTTTGATGAGCCATCAATGAACAAGACAAGACTTTAGTCCTGCTCCCACTGAGTTTAATGGCAGAACTCCCAGTTCAATGGAAGCAGGACTGCGCTAATGATAAAACTAACTTGCAAGTTGAGGGTGTTCCAGTTGCACTAAAATAGTCAAGATACATTGCAAATATCAGCCTTGGTGTAACTTAGGAAACTTCTTGATGTAACATAACATGTTGTTGGGTTTATTTAGTGTACAATGAAAATTATTTGATATGAAAATATTTTGTACATATATATTTTTACTTTGTTTTCTAAATTGCTGATTTGCATTGACTTAAAGTGCCAAGCAAGAAATGTATGTCATGACTGTATGAACAGTTGAAGTATATGTTTTACTGACTTGCATCATTATATGTCTAAGATTCCATGACATTAATTTTTGATACTTTACTGGATTTTGACATAATAATGTGAGTTTATAACTAATAGCAGAGAGTTAATACTTCACTTTTGTTCATACTATTGTAAGTTATTCTGGTATTAAATATTTTGTGACAATAAATTGATGATTTTGACAAACTTTTCTCTTTGAAATATTCACAGTGGTTTTGTCTGTGTAAACAACAACAAAATTTGTCATGTAAAAAGAGTACTTTTGGGGAATTCTCTGGAGTAAAACTGGAGAAGGCAAGCCATTGTATAAACAATTTGTTCCTGGTTCTTTTTTTAAGTGATCAAAGCACAAAGAATAATCTGTAAAACACATCAAGTGGGTTTTAAATTTGGCATAATTTCTTGTTACCATTTTCTTTAATTTATTTTTTTCTACTGCTGCTTTAGAGTTATCTGAAAACAAATTCTGATGAGTTATGTGTGTGTCTTTTTAAATAACAAAAATCATGATCAAGTGCTGAGCCAACAGCTAATGAAGACTCAATAATTATTTATGATATTGGAAAAACAAACATTATTACTATTGCTCTTCTTTGTTTCAACATATGTAACCATTTTAGTAAAATAAATAACTGCAAACAACATTTTGCTGCTTTGAATTAAATATTCATTTATCTGACCTTAATCATTTGTATTTCTGAATTACTGTCAGAGTTTCTCTATACTGGGATGCAAGCATGTGATAGGCAAAGACAAAACAGGAATGCTAGTCTTTTGATTAATACATCTTGTGGTGCACAGTGATGTGAACTAGTTTAGCGCATCCCTGATGAAAATGACTGTTCAGCAAGGTTAGGCTAGTGACTGCTAATGATGACATGGTATGATGCTTATAAATCCTCCACATTGGAGGAGTGCAGAGGGAAGCCATAGCTAATCACTGTCCTAAGTCACTGGAGAAGGTCCATGAGCTGGAAGGACTTTGGTCATTTAGAGTTTTTTATGAGTACAGGCTATATTTGTCTACAGTACCATGTATGGATACAGTCTGGCTGTGGAGCCTTGGTGGAGAAGGAAATGCAATCAGCCCATCTAGAAGTTCAGTGCTTATAGTAATGAGAGCCCAGTGCAACTGGTCTCCTAATTTTTGTGCCTCAGCAAAGTTCCTCCAGTTGCATGGGAGGAGTGATAACTATGGTTTTGGTGAGCAACTGGCACTTTCAGGTTTTATGTCCTGCTTATTTGTGTTGTATGTGTACTGCTGTAACATCTGTGGCCATCCAGCTTGTCAGTGGAGGTTTGGATATTGAGTTGATCTGCGAGTTCCTGAGGGAGTATGTACAGCCTGACTTTTGCTGTTGGGAGTGCATAGAAACACCCACATCCTAATAATGCTGAGCTTCTGGCATCCACTTTGTACCTGAGTGTGACATGAAGAAACCAACTCATTTTGCTCCCACCTACTCTGTCACATCATTTGCAAGACCTGAGTGCTCCCAACCCCTTATAAACCACTGAGAGCAAGGGGAGATCCAATTTTGACAGGTTGCTCAGTAATTAGAACATACACTGGTATCAGGACTACAGTCTCCTCTTCCAGCATCATACTGGAACTACTGAGCTGTAGTTCTTTGGCCTCATGTTCTCAGTTGGTGGCCTAAAGTATAAATATGTACACCAGGTGAAGGAGTTCCACCAGGGAGACAGAAAGCAAGTCCTAGGACACATAGGCCATTTTGAGGACATTTGATATCTTGATGGCTTAAGTTTTAACTAGGAGTTTGGCAAAGGATGGCAGCTAGACTTGGATGCCCACATGCAAGTGCATGAGGTTACTGCACTGTGGGTTAGAAGGAGAAGATGGGCAAGGGAGGTTGATAGCACGTCTGTACTGTGCAAAGAAGTATGAATTTAGCTTAGGCTAAGGGAAACGCTATGTCTACTTAAACCTGTTTCTTCATTATCACTTTACTCACATAGTTTTTCATTGTGTGCCCTGACTTTGATAAATTATGTTTTTATCCACCTAAACTATCCACCAGTGGAGATCCACAACACCAAATGTGAGATGGTGTTGCAGAAAGCAGCCTTGATTATAAAATTGGTGGGGATCTCTGATAATCATGAGCTTCCAGAACTTACCGTACTCTTAATGCCCAGAAAGTCCTTCTTTGTACCCCCTGCGACATCCCCAGCAGCAGGAGGGAGTGTGGGAATTGTTCCACGTTAATCGAAAGAGAACCTTCTCCCGGGGAAGGAGTTTGTGGCTGCCCTAGGGTACCAGGGAACTGTCTTCTCTCCCTGCTTCATCACATTGAGTGAATATGGGCATGAGGAATCACTCAGGGCCAGTCTGGGCTGTTGGGTACTGTGCTGGTGGGCACACCACATCCTGCCTACCAAGGCACTGCCAAGTTGAAGCCACCATGCTGAAGAATCATAGAATCATAGAATCAGAATGGTTTGGGTTGGAAGGGACCTTAAAGATCATCTAGTTCCAATGCCCCCCCCCCGCCATCAGCAGGGACACCTTCCACTAGACCAGGTTCCTCAAAGCCTCATCCAACCTGGCCTTAAACACTTCCAGGGAGGGGGCATCCACAGCTTCTCTGGGCAACCTGTTCCAGTGTCTGACCACCCTCACAGTGAAGAATTTCTTCCTAATATCTAATCTAAACCTACCCTCTTTCAGCTTAAAGCCATTTCCCCTTGTTCTGTCATTAACTGCCCTTATGAAAAGTCCTTCCCCAGCTTTCCTGTAGCCCCTTCAGGTATTGCAAGGCCATTATAAGATCTCCCCGGAGCCTTCTCTTTTCCAGGCTGAACAGCCCCAACTCTCTCAGCCTGTCTGCATAGGAGAGGTGCTCCAGCCCTTGGATCATCCTCATGGCCTCCTCTGGACTCATTCTAACTGGTCCATGTCTCTTGTGTTGGGGGCTCCAGAACTGAATTCAGTACTCCAGGTGGGGGCCTTACAAGAGTGGGGTAGAGGGGGAGAATCACCTCCCTCGACCTGCTGACTCAGCCTGGATGTCTTCCTGGGTGGATCTTCCTTTCCATCTTCACTCTCCTGGCTCTCAATTTCCAAAGCCCCGTATCTGTTGTGCAGCGGTAACTGGGGGGGCAAGGGAGGCCAGCACAAGATCTGCCTGCATGCCCGGCCTCTCTGAGGAGGCACCTGTTTCCACTCCCTGCTGTCTCTTGGGTCCCCTCCTCTTACCTGGTGGCAAGAGGATAGGGGATCCTGTGCTTCACATGGGGCCTGTTGCCTTCCCCTCAGAGATGGGAGGGCCTGATGGAAGGATTCCCGAAGAGCATCCTTCAGGAATCCTTCCAGAGGTTTTCAGGCTCAGTGATGCTTCTTTTTCTTTTAGTCTTGAGGAAGCCCTGGGTCATATTCCCCTGCATGGCTTCCAAGGGCTGGAGGAGACAGATGTATCTGCTGGTAAGTCCACTGTGTGGAGTGGAAGATGAGAGTAAGCATAACTAGTCATCCAGCCTCGCAATGCTGCAACAAAGATCCTATAAATATAGCCCACCAGGGCTGTACATGTCTTATTTCACAAATTTCCACATTCAACTCAAGTTGTGCCCTTAGTCACTCAGCCCTTAGAGTGACTACACTTTCTTAAACCATGGCCTGTTACTTGCAGGAAAATGGAGCCTGGACTCAGCACAGACTGAGGACACCAGATCCTCCAGTGCCCCACAAGCAGCTCTGAAGTCCAGTGGTCACAGTGACAGCTTCAAACATGACAGACCCTTGTTTTATTCCTGTGTTACTATGAATAATCTGTGAGACTTGGAGAATCAGGAAAAACCTCAAAGGCATCCAGGCTCCTAACCTAACCAATTCAAGCATTTCTGAAGGTCTGAGGGCCAAGGCATGTTTCCATGGTCAAGGGCAGACAGTTGCTTGCCTGCTGTGAGCCAGTTGGACAGAAACATGGCCTAGTTCAGAAACTGAGTAACCCAAGTTTGGCATCAAGCCTGAGCTGCTACACCAAGGTCCCCAGCAGAGCATGGACTGGACGCAGTATGGTGCAGACATGTCTGTGCAGCTTTTGGACCATTGCTTGTTCTATGACTTCACTTGTCCACAGCAATGTCCTCAAATTCCTCTGAGCTTTTGTGCAGCATTTCAAAGAGGACAATAACGCTGCTCTGCATGGCTGAGCTGTTGTGTATAGAAGGACAGCGCTAGTTGGGAGCTGCTCTGATGAAATACCTACTAGCCTAGTTAGGTAGGGCAGGAAAGCAAGATGAAGTATGACGCAAAGGGCTCAATTTCCT